GTTATCTCTGCCGCTTGTCCTTCGGAGCTTGTTTCTAAATCTGTTTTGTTTTGGAGACTCTGAGCTCGTTGAAGTTATTCATTCCAGCTCGAAACTTTGAGATCGTAGCTTAGTGGATATTTCTGTGCCAATATATATGTACATATTTTTTGCTGTTCTTGGATCTTTAGGATGTCTAAACGCAAGAATTTAACAATTTTTAATTACTTTGAGAAAAAATCACGACCTGAAATTAGTGAGGTGACAGCATCTAGTACCAATGTAAGTTTTTCTGTTGAACAGAAATGTGATACTTCCGTTGAAGAAAACGTTTCTAGCGTAACAGAATCTGATGAATGTGAAAGCGGCCCTCAAAGTGTTACTTCCCACCCATATGACATTGGACTTTTTTCAGAAGATAATACATGCGAGGATAAAAAACTGGATATACTTAAAAATGTTTGGGAACCCAATCCAGCATTTGTTTTTCCTGAAAAAGGAAAAAGAAAATTGAAATTTTAGTCCAAATGGCTTTAGAGGGTTCGTTTAAAGAGTTAATAATGCAAATAGTTTTGAGAAACTAATTTTTTTCTGCAACAATACATGAAAAATTTAAAAATAAAATCTGATGCTGATTACAATTTAATACACTTAAGTAATAAGGAATTTATTTCGAAATACATACCTTTGAATTACGAATTTTCAACTTAAAAATACAATTTATTTTCCTCAAATGCCATGTTCTAGCTGTATAATACGACATATTCAATACCCAACTAATTTCTGTGATGGATTTTCCATTTTTATATATAGTGCCACTATTTTTTCTTTTAGAATGTATGAGCAGTGAAACATTATTTTCTCTACTAAAATTAAATTCAATTAAAATTAGTAAAACTCCAATAAAAACTTACAAATCTCTAAATAATCTACAACGGCAAAACTCAACGAAAAACTCTAAGTAAAATTTACTCTGCAATTTACTAGAACCTTCAGGACGTAGACGTCAATTTTTGGCGAATTTTAATTTTTTCAAAGAATTGAAACTCTTTTTTATTTATTTTCTTAAATTTGAAATTTCATTTAGAAAAATTAAGTTTTTATGCTTGTAGTAGTCTCTATCTTAATATTTTAACTGGACTTATATTGTCCTTAATAAATTAAGAAAACTGTAACATTAGTGTCGTAATTAAACTAAAACTAAACTCAGTGGCGCGACGGCCCATAGAGGGCCAAGGCCTACTGTGCCCATCTCAGTTTTCTTGACCTTGGGCTCTGGGGTGCAGCAGCAGATGTTCCGGTAAGGTGGTCAGCCGAACGCGGAACCCCCAGTGTTTAGTTCCCAAGCATGCTTGGTACTCATTTATCGACCCACTGAAGGGATGAAAGGCTGAGTCAACCTTGCCCGGCCCGAGGATCGAACCAGGGACCTGTGGCACGACAGCGCGAAGCGCTACCGCTCAGCCACCGGGCGTCAGTGTCGTAATTATAAAGTTAAAATTAAAATTTGAAAAACCACACATTTCGTTACCACGAATTTACAAGTTTTTGAAATTAAATATTGAATGTTGTGGTGCATATAAACATAATAAAATACATCTTCTTAGTTTTGCTGCCGCATGTTTAACTTCTTAAGGACCTAGATGGCTATTTAGCAAGAACTTAGCAGGATAGTTTATCTCCATTACTATAGCCAACCAAATTAGCAAAAACTTATTTACAACCATTACCTATTTTTCGTTTTTAATATACTTCGAACCTATAAAAAATTGAAAATTATCTTACTTCCAATGTAACATAAACTTGTTCTATCTTTCAAAGAGAAAAAGAAATACTGAAATGCCAGCAAAATATGACATGTAAGAGGATGATACTGAATTTTATTGTCAAATCTAATTTGTTCCGACTTATAACAATTTTGTCAGAAAAAATCTGTTGAAATATTAAAATGTTGCAAGTTATATATCTCACATTCTGATTTTATAATTAAAATCAGAATTTAAAGCAATATAATTAGCTTTCCAAAACATACTGGTTAATTGATTTAATAGCCTTCATTTGATTATTTGTGTAGATTAAATTACGCAGATTAAACTTATATTTAACATAGTAGAGGAAAGAAATCTCTACAGTTGTCAAAACTGCTATTGAAATATGTGAAATGTTGCAATAAGTTTTTACTGATCCATTATTGAACTAATAAATGAACACATGGTATAACAATCAATGCTGTAATAAAAATTAAACTTCTCCAGAGATCTTGATAATTTTATTTTATCCTTCTTGATTACTTTATGAATTATTTTGAATAAATTATACATTAATGTCTTATCTGCAACCAATCTTTTCTTATTTATATGGAATATGCACAAAACAGAAAGACATAACAACACAATTAAAAAAGAAAAAATGATTTTAATTTCTTTATTTAGTATTTAATTTGGCCCTAAAGTGTGACTTTACATATTTATAATGAGAGAAACACATTTTCAGTTTTGCATTATGATTAAACTTGGTCATATAATACACGAAAAAGATTTGCTTGAATTTTAAGAAACATATTATTTTACTTTGATTAAAAAATATAACTTAATGTGTTCATTTATATTAACTCAATTTAGAAGTTAAACGCCAATTTTTAAGCTGAAATAGTTTATTTACATGAATATCTAATTTTAGAAAGAGATATTCTATCCTTATAACTTTTTTTTTATATCTAAATAAAATTTATCTGTTAGATAAATATTAGTTCAAAATAAAATCAATTATATATTGTCTATATAATCTTTTCTGCATTGATCTTATTTTCTTAAAAAAAA